TCTGACTTTGAAAAAAAAAAAAGATTAACAGCCCTTGCTTTTCTTTCTGTAACTTATGAATATGGACTAGACAATAACTTTTATAAACTTCCCTAAGTTCTTTTGTGTTTTCACCCATTGTCTCTGTTGTCTATATATATATATTTTTTTTTTTTTTTTTGGGCTTTTTGGGTCACACCTGGCGATGCACAGGGGTTACTCCTGGTTCTGCACTCAGGAATTTTCCCTGGCGGTGCTCAGGGGACCATATGGAATGCTGGGAATCGAACCTGGGTTGGCTGCGTGCAAGGCAAACGCCCTACCCGCTGTGCTATTGCTCTAGCCCCTCTGTTTTCTATATTTTTAAAAGATGTTATCTATCAAAAGAAATTTAAGAGGTGTGATTCCAAATATGCGTAAAGCAGTTTCTCAAATGTAGTCTTTTATTACGTATATGTCATGTACAGCATTTTTGTTTTGGGTCCACAACTGGCTTTGCTTAGGGCTTACTCCAGACTCAGTGCAGGGATCACCCCTAGCAGTACTCAGGGGCCATATGTGATGCCTGGTGGTAGAAATTTTAATTAGTACAACTCCCCTGGGGAATAATCTGGTAATAGCTATCAAAATGTCCTTAAAAATGTGTATCTTTTGTCTTAGTCTGTTGAGACTGCTGTAATAAAGTTTCATAGATCAGATACTTTTCTTGCATGTGTAAGGCTCTGGGTTTAATGGGTGGGTTTAATGACAGCTGATTCTTAAAGTACTTGGAGATAGGCAGTTTGGGGGGGGGGGGGTGATAGATCCTGAGTGCACGATAATTCAGAAGGGATGGGTGCACGCTTTGCAAGTTTCAGTCCCTGGCACTGCACGACTCCCTGAACAATCAGGAGTGACTCCAGCACTAAGCGAAGTGAGACCCCCAGACAAGCAAAAAGATGAAGAGTAAGTGGGAAGTCAGTGAGGAACATCATCCTTACCAGATCCTGAATGTGCTTTCTTTATTTTTTGTTTTTTGAGCCACACTTGGTGGTGCTCAGAGCTTATTCCTGACTACTGTCTTGGTTCAGGGATCACTCCTGGTGGGGTTGGGAGACCATATGAAGTGCTAGAATCAAATTGTTTTGTTTTTGGGCCATACCTGGTGAGGCTTGGGCAAACAATAGGCGATGCCAGGATGGAACCTGGATCAGCAGCCTGCAAGATAAGCACCTTACTTACTGTACTATCATTCCAGCCCAAAAAACAATAGAAAAAATTTAAATGTTAAGGCCTCACCTGAAAGTTCAGCAATACAGATTGCTAGATATTGATATAAAATTTGGTAGTCTACTTAATTTGGGTGGGGTGGGGCAATAGCACAGTGGTTGAGCGTTTGCCTTGCGCGCAGCCGGTCCAGCTGAGCCGGGTTCAATTCCTCCGCCCCTCTTGGAGAGCCTGGCAAGCTACTGAGAGTATCCCGCCCACACAGCAAAGCCTGGCAAGCTCCCCATGACGTATTCAATATGCCAAACAGAGTAACAACAAGTCTCACGATGGAGAGTTACTGGGCCCGTTCGAGCAAATTGATGAACAACGGGAGGCCAGTGCTTCTTAATCTGGGTGTCAACTATGTTTTTGTAAATGCATGTTTGCTGAAAAGATTTTTTTTTCCTTTTGGGTCACACCCGGCCATGCTCAGGGGTCATTCTTGGCTCTGTACTCAGGAATCATTTCTGGTGGTGCTCAGGGGACCATTGGGATGCTGGAAATTGAACCTGGGTTGGCCGTGTGCAAGGCAAATGCCCTACCCTCTGTACTGTCACTCCAGCCCTGACAAGATTTTTTTACATGTTTAATGAAATAAACAGATTAAGTTATTTGATTCAAAGCCAAACTTACATACGTACAGTAGGTTACGAGATTGATTGTTAAAAGGCTAGGTTATCCAAGATCTTGGGATTTACTTTTTAATAAGGAAAAAGAAATAGTCATCTTGTATATCTCTGTCTTTATTATTCTTACCTAAAATGTATCACCATTGCTTTATTTTGTTAAATTTTTATTTTCATAAGGTTGTTCACATTAATTGATTACGTTCAATATTTCAACACCAATCCCAAGACCATTACACTTTTCCACCATCATTATTTCAAATTTTCCCACCACCGCTCAAGCCTGCCTACCACAGGGAGATGCTGGATAATTTATTTTCTGTTGCTTATTATGAATATCATGAGAGGTTGTGCAGCCACTTTTGTAGCCGCATACTCCTGGAATTCTAAAATTGTAAATGGCTGGCGTCCGAAGACATCTCTGTAGGGAGCTAATCCATTTTGAGATTCATTTGTGAGTCTCTGGATCAAGGCCGTTGGTGTGCTTATAAGATCCAGAGGCAGTTCATGGGTGTGATAGTACCCCAAAGGGGCGGGGAGACGGAAGGGACAGACTGTCCCCCACTGCCATGTAAACTTGGAGTCTTCAGTCCCCCCTGGTTCTGTGTACCAGGGTTTTTCTGCTGGAAGTTTGTTGCCACTGGGGGTTCGTTTGGAGTAGGCAGAGAGGAAACACCTGCTCCATCTGAGCTGCCCATCACCATTGCTTTATCTTTCCCTTCTTGGGTAGGGGAATGTTTGGTTTAGGGGCCACACCTGTCAGCAGTCTTGGCTTACACATGACTCAGTATTCAGGGATCACTTCCTGAGGGTGCTTGGGATCATATGTTGCAACAGAAATCAAATCAGGGTCTGCCTTGTACAAGCCAAGTGCCTTAACTCCTGTATTATTTTCAACCTGCTTTACCTTTCCTTTATCAAAATAAAATTTCATTAAGATTACAGTTGTTGGCAGCTTGGGACCGCACCTGGCAGTGCGAGGGTTGCTTTGCACTCAGGAATTATTCTTGACAGTACACGGGGACCAATGTGATACTGGGGATCAAGCATCTCCCATGTGCAAGACAAATGCCCTACCTGTTGTACTTCAGCCCCTGCTTGTTGGAATTTAAAATAATTTTTTCAAATTATATTTTAAGGGCTGAAGTGATAGCACCGTGGTTAGGGCGTTTGCCTTGCACGTGGCTAACCCGGGTTTGATTCCCAGCATCCCATATGGTCCCCTGAGCTACCGCCAGGAGTAATTCCTGAGTGCAGAGCCGGGAGTAACCCCTGTGCGTCGCCAGGTGTGACCCAAAAATCCCCCCCAAAAAAATTATTTTAGGTGATAGAGTTTCAATAGTGTTTAAATTTCTGTTATTGATGAACAAAATTATAGCTCACCTTAGCTACCCAAGTGCTTGTGACCCTCCCCCCATCCCTAGTCTTCTCTGGTGTGGTGTTCTTTCCTTCCCAATCCTACCTTCATTAATAATTGACAGTTACTGTTACTATGCATACTGTTACAAAGAAATTTTTTCATTAGGACTACGATTTTTGGCACATAGCTGCCCAAGCCTATGTGGTGCTTGAGCCCACGTGGCCAAGCACATGTGGCGCCCACTTCTCCGCTCTTGAGATGTGTACTTTCATACTTCCGTGTCTAATGCTGGAATGTGTGTAGGGATTCTCTCCACCCTTGGAGAAGCCTGCGTTCTTTCTTGATCACATTACTCTCCGCTCTCCCACTTTCTCTTCCCTTCAAAACCTCCAAATTATGTTTTACCTCAAAAAAAAAATTACGGTTATTGGGGTTGGAGCTATAGTACACTTGCCTTATACCACCACCCAGGTTTGATCTTCAACACCCCATTTTGTCCCTTGAGCCTGTCAGGAGTGATTTCTGAGCATAGAGCCAGGGCTGGAGCAATAGCACAGCAGGTAAGGCGTTTGCCTGACACATGGCTGTCTTGGGTTTGATTCCTCTGTCCCTCTCAGAGAGCCCATCAAGCTACCCAAAGTATCCCGCCCGCACAGCAGAGCCTGGCAAGGTCCCCATAACAACAGTATGCCAAAAACACAAGTCTCACAATGGAGATGTTACTGGGCCCGCTGGAGCAAATCGATAAACAACAGGAGGACAGTGCTACAGTGCTACAGTGCTTACAGGAGTAAGCCCTGAGCACCACCAGGTGGGACCCAGAAATAAAAATACCTTGGGTGACTGGAGCGATAGTTAATAATATAAGAGTTAGGGTGCATGGCTTGCATGAAGCCTACCCTGGCACCATATACTCTCCTGAGTATTATCAGTTGTGGCCTTAGAGGCTCCCATGCACCGCCTGGGTGGCTGTTTAATTTCTAGAACCACAGGACCTTTGCAAAGCCATGCTTATCATTACACCCTCACATTGAACTACCAGTGGTTGGACAAGACCATCAGGGTCTCTGAACACTGCTTGGGAGCCCCTCTAACAATGAGTGGGGACATGGGTAGCCCCAAAATACTGTTGATCATAGCCTCCTTCCCCCAAAAGAACCCAAAAGTGTCCGAAAACAGGAGTTTTTCTTCTATGGCTGTTCCCAGCTCTATGCTTAGGAACTTAGCACTCAGAGGCATACAGCATTAAGCATTAAACCTGGTGCTCCCACATGCAAAGCATGTATGTATTCCAGCCATTTTTGAATCATCCTGCCAATTCCAAAGCAGAATTAAAAAATTTTTTTTTATTTAAATTAAATTTTGATTTTGATTTTCAGACCACACCTGGTGGTGCTCATTCATGGCTTAGTACTGGCTATGTGGTCAGGAATCTCTCCTGCTAAGGTTCAAGGGATCATATGGGGTTCCAGGGATCAATTCCAGGTCAACAACATGCAAAAGCAAGCACCCAATCCACTGTACTATCTCTCCAACCCAAGACAGGAGATTCTAAATAAAGTATTCAAAATAGAAATCATTTGAACAGCTGAGAAATAATACTTCATGCAGCTGACACCTGTTCAATCTTCGTCACCCCATATTGTCCCCTAGCTCTGCCAGGTATGATCCCTGAGCACTGCTTGACCAAAAAAAAAGAATAGAAGTGAATTTGAATGTTTTCTTTTATTATTATCATAATTAAAGTATAACATTGTTTGATAATATTTGAATTTGTTTTCTTTCAGAAATCGAGCTATAGCAGATTATCTTCGTTCAAATGGCTATGAAGAGGCATATTCAGTTTTTAAAAAGGAAGCTGAGTTAGATATGGTATGCTTTAATTTTTTACAATTATTCATGGTTATTTGCGTGGTTATCACTCAGAAGTCAAGTTAACAGTCACCCCAATCGTTTACAGATCTTGTAGGTTATTGTGGTTTAGCATTCAATTTGATTTATATATAATCAGATCTTTATTAACATTTGAGCTTAGACATGAATGGGCCACCTGACTTGGACTGTCATTTCCCCCCCCCCAGAATGAAGAATTAGATAAGAAGTATGCTGGTCTTTTGGAAAAAAAGTGGACATCTGTTATTAGATTACAAAAGAAGGTAACGAAGTCTTTTTTTCTTCACAGTTATTTATGGGGCTTTCTCGTATTTCCTGAAAATACTTTGTATTGTTTTTAATTATGAAAAGTAAATAAAAATATTTTTTCATTAGTTAAAACCTTACCTAGACAGATTTTTGTTCAGACATGATAATTCATGAAGTCTAGGAATGGATTAGATTGAATCAACACAACTCTGACATCAGGGAATTGAGTCTGAAAGGGCTTATTTGTGCATTTAGATAGGAAGAGGATATGGATCTATATGGGGCTGAGAAGGGACTATAGAGTTAGTGTAGTATATGGAGCTTGCCTTGCCTGAAGCCAACCTGGGTTTGGTCCCAGCATCCCATATGGGAACCTAGCATTGTCAGGAGTGATCCCTGAATTCTGTGGGATGTGTCCCCCACCACACTGCACACCCCCAAAAAAGCAAAACAAACAAACAAACAAAAAAACTAGGGACCATTGAGATATGATAGAGTGGGTAGGGTGCTTGCCTTGTACATGGTCAACCTGATTTCAGTTCTCAAGCCTGTCAGGAGACATAAGAGCATGTGGGCCTTGCTGGATGTGACCCAGAAAATAAAAACCCACATACACACAGTTCCTAGCACATAAGTATTACATAAACATTGGTACTATTAGCCTATATAATGTACACGTAATTTGAAAAGAATACACCAAGAGTAGCAGATGAGAAAAGATATGATTGTACGAATTTTTTCTATTTCCCTTTTTGTCATACCATAAAATACTGCTGGTAAATAATGAATATTTTCATTTAAATCTGATTAATGTTTTGTAAATCACTGAAACATTTTCAGGTAGTCTGTATACATAGATTAAAAACAAATGCAGGGTTTTTCCTATTTTGGGGGGAGGGGTCACACCTGTTGGTGCTGGGTGCTCCTCCCAACTCCGTGCTTCAATGTTGTTCTCTGCAATGCTCTTTTAATCATGTGGGGTTGGAGTTGTATTTTCACTTCGACAAGTAAAGCATGCACTCAGACTATTGAGCTGTTTTCTGTCAAAAATGAAGGCTGTTTGCAACAGGGATGTGGCTCAGAGGAGAGCACGTAGCTCGTGTGAAGCCCTGAGTTCTGTTCCTGACACTGCAGAAATAAACATCAAAATTAAAGCATCTTTTAAAAGTAGTATCTGTACTCTTTTTTTTTTCCTTAAACAATTGTATTGTTTTTGTTGAAATTTATGTGTATACAACTGTTTCTTCTCAAGGTTATGGAATTAGAATCGAAGCTAAATGAAGCAAAAGAAGAATTTACGTCAGGTGGACCTCTTGGTCAGAAACGAGATCCAAAAGAATGGATTCCCCGTCCACCAGAAAAATATGCATTGAGCGGCCATAGGAGTCCAGTCACTCGAGTCATTTTCCATCCTGTGTTCAGTGTTATGGTCTCTGCTTCAGAGGATGCTACAATTAAGGTAATATTTTCAAAATAGAAATATATGCAATAGGATAATTGTTAAAAGTAGATTGAAAGTTAATTTGCTGAAGAAAGGAAAAGGTCTGAGAATGAGGACTAAAACTAAGAATAGAAGGGATTCTGAAATTCACAGTTGGTTCTAACCCTTAAAAGACAGAATTAGAATAAAATTTAATTGTAGTTTCTGAAAGACTGCAAAACAAGTTCACTGATGCATTAGATAAGATTGTGTGTCACTGATTTAGTTAGGGTTGGATTGGGTGATCACATTGTTTGAAGAATTTATTCTTTTTATTTAATAATCATCAACAGCTCTGCAATCCAGCTAGAATTGGAAGGGGAGGTAGAATACCTGAAACTGAACGAACTGCAGAAGAGAGCACAGGGATCAGAGGCCATTTCAAGCACATGGAGGAGAGAAGCGCTCTCCTGACAGGCTCTGGGAACCGTACTTTAAGATTTATTTCAGGTTATATTCTAGAGTTTTAATTTCATCCAGAGAGAGAGATCCAAGAAATTGTGAGTGGTATGTTAAGTGACTAGAGTTAAAAGTCCAGAACTACTTGGCATGTTCTTCACATTAAACATGCTTTAATGTCTTCCTTACACAGTTTTTCTGCAGACAAGTGATCCATGAGTTGGGCTACACAGTAACTGAAAAAAAAAAAAATACTGAGTTCATGGGCTGGAAAAATAGTACAGCGGGTAGGGCACTTGCCTTGCATGTCGCCAGCCAGGTTCGATCCCTGACAATCCATATCATACCCTGAGCTCTTCCAGGAATATATTCCTGTGTGCAGTGAGGAGAAACCGCTGAGTACTGCTGGGTGTGGCCCCCAAAACAAAATATATATTGAATTCATATGTTCGTCATGTGTTTTATAAGTAATTATATACCTAATACTCTGCTTTTTCCAAGTGATTGTAGACACATATTTAAGTTACTGATTTTGTGATAGTCTTGTATACTACAATACATAAAATCTTAACACTGCTACCATAAGGCATAGAGTGGAGGTAGACTGTCCTTTGCCTTCCTCCCTGCTTCCCACCCCAGAGATTGAAGCCAGAGCTTACATATGCAAGGCATCATCATCTGAGCCACATCCCTGGTCCTGAGGTTGACGTGGTTTTTTTTTTTGTTTGTTTGTTTGTTTTGCTTTTTGGGTCACAGCCGGCGATGCTCAGGGGTTACTCCTGGCTCTGCACATTCTTAAGTAGGTTTGAAATGCTGTCTTTATTGCAGTAGTAACAAACTATTTTATAATTAATTTTGTTTTCTCTGTGATTAAACTTAATTTATAAGTACTTTTTTTTTTTTTTTTTTTTTTTTTGCTTTTGGGGTCATTGAGAGCTTGTTTGGAGTTCTAGCAGGGGAGCGCAGCTACTCATATACCCTCGACCGAAGACTGGTCCATCTCTATTCGGGGAAGGCTGTCCTCTTTGACCTAGTGCGCAGCTTCGGGAGGGACGCACATGGAGCCTGGCAAGCTACCCATGACATATTCAATATGCCAAATACAGTAACAACAAGTCTTAAGATGGAGACGTTACTGAGCTCGCTCTTGCAAATCAATGAACAACGGGAGGACAGTGCGACAGTGCTTTTGGGGTCATACCCAGCAATTGCACAGGGGTTACTCCTGGCTCATGCACTCAGGAGTTACTCCTGGCAGTACTCGGGGGACCATTTGGGATGCTGGGAATTGAACCCGGGTTCGCCTCGTGCAAGGCCCCTACCTACTATGCTATTGCTTCAGCCTCAATAAGTACTTCTTTGTTTCTAATGATTCTTGTTCTCCCTCTGTGCTGCTTATCAGGGAATGAACCTAGGACCTAACCCTTCGTTATATCACTAGCTCCTGAATTGTCATTTTCTAATTTATATTTGAAGATTTTATAGGATAATTAGTGATCAAGAACAGACTCTGTATTCATGTCCTAACACTACCCTTTATTGGGGGTGGGGGGATTGTGCTACACCCATCTATGGATGTGCTGAGGACTTACTCCTGGTTCTGCCCTTAAGCACTACTCGTGGCAGGGTTTAGGAGACTATGGGTGCTTCAGATCAAACCCAAGTTATCTTTGTTACAAGGCAAGCACCTTCCTGCTATACTTTCTCTCCATCCCCTAACCCTGTCACTTAGAATGAGTGTGATCACAGGCAAATTAAATTTTGTACATTTTTTTATTCCATCTGTAAAGTGAAAATAATGCTTATCTCAGAGTTTTAGGAGAGGTTAAACAAATTTAATTAAGATACTTTTGGGAATCAAACCTGGCACCTTGTACATGTGAAACATATGCACTACTACTGAGCTGCATTCTTTGATCCCTACTTGTTTGATTTCACAGCATGGAATTGTTTTTTATTTTACCTTTTTTTTTTTAATGTAGGAGTATTGCGTGGGGATTTTTTGTTTGTTTTTTTTTTGGATTTGTTTGTTTTTGCTTTTTGGATCACATCCAGCAGTGCACAGGGGTTACTCCTGGCTTGTGCACTCAGGAATTACTCCTGACAGTGCTTGGGGGACCATATAGGATGCTGGGAATCGAACCCGGGTTAGCTATGTGCAAGGCAAACACCCTACCCGCTGTGCTATTGCTCCAGCCCCAGGAGTATTGCTCTTTATTCAGCCATTGATTAGGCTGATTGAATTGGGCATGAACTCCACCTTACTTTTTTTTTTCCTTTTTTTTTTTCCTTTTTGGGTTACTCCTGACGATGCACTCAGGAGTTACTCTTCGTGGTGCTCAGGGGACCATATGGGATGTTGGGAATCGAACCCGGGTCGGCCGCATGCAAGGCAAACGCCCTACCCTCTGTGCTATTGCTCCAGCCCCACTTTTTTTTTTATATAAATTTATTTATTGAATCACCGTGAGAGCAGTCACAAAGCCTTTGGGTTTAAGTCTCAGTCATACAGTGATGAAACACCCATCCGTTCACCAGTGCCCATTCTCCACCACCAAAAACCCCAGTACACCCTCCATCCCACACCTTCCCCCTACCTGTGGGGCAGATGATTTCCACATTACTCTCTCTCTACTTCGATTATATCCAATATTTTGACATCGGACCCACCATTATTATTTGGGATTTTACCCCCAACACTCAGATCTGCTGAAAAGGCAACAGTAGACAGTTTGTTTTCAATTGCTGATTATGAATAACATGATGTCGTATGACTGCAGTAGTGGCCACATGATTTTGGAATTTTGAAATTACAACAAGTCTGGGGGGATTTTTGCCAAAACCTAGTGGGTTCCAAGATTTGTTCCTGAGTATCTGGGATCATGGCCGTTAAGCAGCTTGATCAGGAGCCAGAGAGGCCATTCGTGGGTGGCGACCTGGGGTCTCGTTGGGGTGGGGAGGAAGGGCGGTTCCACCCCCATTCTGTGAGGCCCTGCATGTCTCGTCACTGCGGACCCAAGCCTGACTGTCCGCGCGGGGAGGGGGAACAGGTCAAGGCATGGAACCTATTCCTACCTGGGGTGGCCCAACATGGGTAACCTACTGCAGGGACCAGACCATTTCTGCCAAAAGCCTTTGGGTTCCGAGATTTGTTTCTGAGTCTCTGGGATCATGGCTGTTATGAAGCTTGATCAGGAGCCAGAGAGGCTGTTCATGCGCGGTTTTATTTTATGTTTTATAATTAGAATCAGTTTTGGTTAAGCCTTGGACTTCAGACCAATGTCCTTGTTGGTTGGTTGATTTATTTGGGGACCACTCCCAGCAGTGCTGACCACTTGGATTTTCAGTCCACCGGATTCAGTGCTCCTGGCAGCAACAACTGAACTTGGGCATCCGCCATGCAAAGCCTGTGCTCCAGTCTTTTGAACCCTGCCTCTGTTTTTGCTTTGGGCTTCCTAACCATTGCTCAGGGAGTAAGGAACTAGTCCAGGCAGTTCTGGGGACCGCCAGGCCCACATCTGGCCCTCATCTGTTCGTAACTTTTGTAAGTGACTTAAACTTTTGTAATAGCTGTTCCTAGACAGTTATATCTTAGGAAGTCTTTCCTTGACTTTGATGTCTGAGATCTGCTTGTCGCGTACATTTTTAGTGCTTCTCTATGGTTCACCTCTGAAATTTTTGTTTTATATTTAAATATACTTATTTTCATATCTGTTTTCTGCTGTGGCACAGGGAAAGGACTTGTTTTTGTTTGATCACTAGCATGATACATACTAACTTTGATATTAGAGTTCTAATCTAATAGTTGCAGCATTGAGCTGGGAATATGTTAACTCAGGAACAGAGAACTTGCTTTGTATTTGTGGTGCCCTGAGTTTCGTTCCCTCCTTCCCCCAACACACAACACCAACATTCTTTATAAATATAAATTTATACTTGAAGATACCTATTTTTAGGACATTTACCCGGTCACTTGCCATTAATTTAGTTGATACCGTTCCAGACTGGTCTGCTGAGTTGCACATGTGAAGTGAAGTGAGCAAGGAATTGTTGATGTTAACCACTTTTCTGGGTTTTTTTGGCAGGTGTGGGATTATGAAACTGGAGATTTTGAACGAACTCTTAAGGGGCATACAGACTCTGTACAGGATATTTCATTTGACCACAGTGGCAAACTTCTGGCTTCCTGTTCTGCAGATATGACCATTAAACTATGGGATTTTCAGGGCTTTGAATGCATCAGAACCATGCATGGTAAGGAATAGAGGATAATTTGAAAATTGATTTCTAACCTAGCACTACATAGAAAATAAAGCTATTGTCGTCTGATGATATCAGGTTCCTTACATTTATTTATTTATTTTTTGTTTGGGCTCCAGGCTCTTTTGGTTGGTTGGTTGTTTTGTTTGTTTGTTTAGGGGCCACACCAATAGTGCTCAGGACTTATTTCTAGCTCTGCACTTGAGAATTACTCAGGGAAGTCATGTGGGAGTCTGGGGAACGATCCTGGGTCTGCATACAAGGCAGACGCCTTACCTGCCAGCCTAGCGTGTACCTGGGGACCCAGGCTTTTTCCTAGCTCTGTGCTCATGAAGGTGGAGAGGTATGTGATGTAGTAGTACATAGATAATCCACAGTAGGCTAGAATTATTTCTATAACAAGGTTTAAGAATCTCTTAATGGCTTATATAAAATATTTGTTTTCACAAATACTTTTGGGTATGAAAAGTTGCTAGAACATCTACCTTTGAGGAAAAAAATAAGTGGATTTTTTATCTTTTATAATTAAGGAAATGGAAATCTATAGGAAGCAGTTATAGTGAAAACTAGAACCCAGATTTCCTTGCTATCTTAATGTGCCACATAGTATAGTCTCATTGTTGTTTTCCTGGATCATGTCCTAGATACTACTCCCTGGAGCAATTTCACTTAGTGGAAAGAGTTTGAGCTTTGGAATCAGATCTCAGGGTTCACATTGCTTCTTGTTTACTTACGGCACAATGTTATTTTAACCTCTTTCATCTGTAAGATAGACATAATAATACCTAAATCATAGGGTTGTTGTGAGGATAAAATGAGATCCTAAATTATATTTTGTTAAGTACCTGGCACATAGAAGGTACTCACTAAGTACTAAGTAAGGAATAAGTAACATGCTCAGCTGCTAAAAATGCATCATCCAAGTGATGTTAGGACATAAGTAACATGATAACATAAAGGATATAAGTAAGGCATACTATGAAGGGAGTGTTTTTTCCTCTTAAAAAAACAAAAATTTTGCTGTATTTGAGAAGCTTAAAAATCAGAATTCCGTTGAATTCTTTTTTACTTTTTTTTTATTGAATCACTGTGAGATAGTTACAAGCTTTTATGTTTGGGTTTTCATTGAATTCTTATAAAATCAAGTGTATGTTTATATAGCCACGCTCTAAGAAACACAATTGTTTCTCTAACTTGAAAAAAGTTCTGGAGCCAGGCATGTGGCTCATTTTCAAGACACTGTGTTGTGTCCCTGGTACCACATGGTTTCTGAACAGCACTGGGTCTGGCTCCTACGTAATGGGGTGAGGGTTACACACCTAGTGCTGCTCAAACTTCACTCCCACCTCTGCTCAGTGATTACTTCTGATGGGGCTTGGAGGACCATCTGGGTGCCAGGGATCAAACCCCAGAGACTATGAACAACCCCTACCTACCCGTTGCCTCATAAAAATGTTTGCTTTGTTTTGAGGCCATACCCAGTGGTGCTCCTGGCTGTGCAGTAAGGAGTCACTCCTAGCAGACTCGGGGGAACATCTGGTATGCAAGGCATTGGACCCGGGTCCTTCAAGGCAAATGGCGTACTATTGCTTCGCCCCAACGCATTTTTTTACAGGATGATTTTCATGGCTAGAGAGAGAGTTTGATGAGCTATCACACATGTCTTGCATACAGGAGGCTAGGGATCAATCCCCATCCAACACTTCATGGTCCCCAAAGCACTGAGTACTGCTGACTATAACTCAAAAACAACAGAAACCATTTCCAACAACTAGGATTAAGCCTTTTTTTTTCTTTTTGGATCACACCCAGCGATGCACAGGGGTTACTCCTAGCTCTGTACTCAGGAATTACTCCTGGCGGTGCTCAGGGGACCATATGGAATGCTAGGAATCGGACCCAGGTCATCTGCGTGCAAGGCAAACACCCTACCCGCTATGTTATCACTCCAGCCCCAAGACTCCATTTTTTTATACATTCTGATTAATAAGTTTTCTTATATCTTATAATCAACAAATTGAGAAAATTCAGGTTTTTTGTTGTTCATATATAAACATCAACATATTCAAACGTTAAACATATATTCAAAGTTTATATTCAAGTGATACTGATGCCTCATGATCTTCCCTTTTTTATTTGATTATTTTGAGGGGACCCAAGGGCCATTACCATTGGCCTGATGGTCAGTGCTCGGCCCCAGTGACAGTGTGCTGCATATGCTCTGTGGATCAAGAGGCGGTGGGGAGGCATGTGGTGCCAGGGATGAAACTTGGAGCCTCATGAGTGTAAGATGTGTGCTTCAACCTTTAAAATATCTCTCAGGCTCCTAAAACTGATTTTGAAACAATGAAGACAGGTGAAATGTAGGGGCTTGGGGTTTTAACCTTTGGCAGTACTTTGACTCCTGCATGTAAAGCATGTGCTCCAGCCCTTTGATCCTTCTTCCAGGCCCCTGTACAAATGGGCGTTTAGTCTAAATTGAACTTTAACTACTTATATTAAACTACTGAGTCCTCAACTTCTTTGTGTTAATCCAGGTTTGTTTGTTTGTTTGTTTCCCTCTTCTTTTTGTTGCTAGAGATCTATTCCAGGACTTCCAGACAGGTCCTCTAGCCAGACAGGTCCTCTAGCACTAGACTATATATAAATGGTCCTAAGTCTAAGTATCTTACTAAATTTATATAAAGCCCAGTGGATGAATTTAAAGATGCTGTGATAGTTGAAATTCCATGGTTACATCTCATTGTAAATTGAGGTTTTGTTGCCTTTAGTGTGGTATATCACTTATATACTGTGTTGTGTATGTGTTTTTTTAGGCCATGATCATAATGTTTCTTCAGTAGCCATCATGCCCAATGGAGATCATATAGTGTCTGCCTCAAGGGATAAAACTATAAAAATGTGGGAAGTACAGACTGGGTAAGTAGATTTAGCTGAAAGGGTTTTGGTAGAGAGATGCTAAATAAAAGATCTAAGTTGTGTTCTCTTTGTTCTGATAATTTTGGCTTTGCCCACAAGTTTTGATTCCTAAGTGTCTCCTCAAAAAGAAACAGAAATAACAAAAGAAATTCTTTAGTCCTTAAGAGTCATTTTCTTTGTGATGGCTTATTTTTTCTATGATCTTCTTTTAGGTAATCTTTGTGAGTTGAAATGTAATGTAAATAGTCACATTCATGTAAGGCTTAATTTGATTGTGCTTAGAATTGCACTTGATTGTTTATCCTACTTGTTTTGCTCATCATGAGTAAAGCATGCTTTACCCCCAGTATATCTGTATTTTTGCCTTCTAGATTTTGTTGATTTGATCACTTCCTTAATGATGCTCCCATCAGCTTATTATATTTCCTGCTTAAAACTTTTATTGACCAGGAATTTACCAGAAAATATAATTTGTTGAACTTGGTACCATTCTCTTTTAGTGCACAGCTAGTTGTATTGCTTTTTGGGAAGTATTCCCCTGATTGCCATTCACAATATAAATTATGACTTATTTTGACAGCTACTGTGTGAAGACATTCACAGGTCACAGAGAATGGGTACGTATGGTGCGACCAAATCAGGACGGCACTCTGATAGCCAGCTGTTCCAATGACCAGACCGTGCGTGTGTGGGTTGTAGCAACAAAGGAATGCAAAGCTGAGCTTCGAGAACATGAGCATGTGGTAGAATGCATTTCCTGGGCTCCAGAAAGCTCATATTCTTCCATCTCTGAAGCAACGGGATCTGAGGTACTTTGATGTGTCATTTCATGATTTTTTTATGCTGTTATTGTAGCATTGCACTGTAGCACTGTCCTCCTGTTGTTCATCAGTTTAATCGAGCGGGCCCAGTAACATACAGAAGATAATTTTTGGTTCTTAATTTAGGCTCATGGATGCATTTAAAAATCTGCATCTTTGGGGGTTGGAGCAATAGTACAGCAGCTAGGATTTTTGCCTTGCATGAACCTGATTAGGTTCCATCCCCAGCACCCTTTATGGTCCCCAAGCACCACCAGGAGTGATTATCTCTGAGTACATAGCCAGGAGTAAACCTTGAGCACCACCAAGTGTGGCCCAAAGACCAAAACCAAAAATACATACATACATACATACATACGTGTGTGTGTGTGTGTGTGTTTGGTATTTTTATAAATATACATACGTGTATCAGCTATTTATGTAAGTTATATGAGCTGACTTTTTTTTTTTAACCACCAGTTAAATGAAACTTTGTTGTAATCTCAATTAGATATTTTTTGGTCTTTAGACCTCCCTAGTGATGCTCAGGCATTACTCCTGGCTCTGCACTCAGGAGTTATTCCTGGTGGTGCTCAGGGGACCATATGAGGCCAGAAATCAAACCTGGGCCAGCTGCATGCAGGGAAGTCTCTCTACCTGCTATATTATCGCTCTGGTCCCCACTTACCGTTCTAGCCCCTAATCTCAGTTAGATTTTAAAAAAAACTTGCTTACTTCCCTCTAGTGGTTGTTATTTGCCATACGTGATAAATTTGATACTGGTAAGGCATCATATACAGGTTTAATTCATTTTTAAATTCTTGATTATTGAAGTCCTAAGCCACAAAATTTATTGTTTATTGGTATTGTTGAAACGGAGTCAACTGAAAAAAAGGAGATTTTCTATTTTAATATTGTCTGGCTCCTTCCTGTGCTATTGTGGTATATCAGAACATTTATAATGGGCTAGAGAGATAGTGTGGCAGGTAAGGTGCTTGCCTTGCATGCACCTGACCCAAATTTGATCCCTGAACACTGCCCTCTGTGCCCAAAATCCAAAAACAAAGAATAAAAATACTTACAGCATCAATAGAAAAAAAAAATAAGATGACTAAGTCCTAGGGATCTAGTGTTCTATCTAACATAGTGGCTGTAGTTTAAAATTCTGTATTGTGTAGTTAAAATTTGCTGAGGTAGATTGTAAATGGGGACCGGAGCAATAATGTAGTCAGAAAGGCATTTGCCTTGCATGTGGCTGACCTGGATTCAATCCCTCGCATCCCATATGGTCCCCTGAGCACCACCAGGGATAATTCCTAAGTGCAGGAGTAACTCTTGAGCATTGCTGAGTGTGACCCAAAAAGCAAAAAAAAAAAATTCTTTTAAGTGTTATCAGCACCAAAAGTGAGAGGCTAGAGTATAGTTATATGAGGCAGCAATATGTTCATTAACTTGATTTGGTTATCGTTTTACAGTGTGTACTTATTTCAAAACATGGAGGTTGTATTTCTTAAAAGTTTTTATTTGTTTAAAATTACATTTTTCAGATTTGGAAAACTATTCCTCCCTTTTTTCTTCCCCTACAGACTAAAAAAAGTGGCAAACCTGGACCATTCTTACTGTCAGGATCCAGAGACAAGACTATTAAGATGTGGGATGTCAGTACTGGCATGTGCCTTATGACCCTTGTAAGTTGGTATAATTTTGCTACGTTTTTGCATCTTTACTGTTCTTAGACATTTTGGAGTTTAGTGCCTTGTGATATCTTATTAAATAACAATAACTATTCCAGGATTTAAGGTTTCTATAAAAAATTTTTTTCAACTTTCTTAATCTCGTTGTTAACTGTGATATAAAAGTTATTCCTATAGCAGAAACAAAGGAAAGGGGTCAGAGCAGTAGTACCAAAGGTAGGGCACTTACCTTGCGCATAGCAAACCCGGGTCTGATCCCTGGTGCCTCCTATGGTCCCCTTAGCGGCTACCAGGAATGTGGTGGGGTCCAAAAATCAAAAATAAATTAAAAAACCAGTGTTAGTATCTGTTTTGGTTAGGTTTGCCTGGCTTATTTTTTACCTCTCTGAAATTATTGGTACTATAGCTTTTCGACCTGGAAATTCTATTTCATTTAGGAGCACTTGGATGTTAGTATTAGGATATGTAAATACTAGAATGGAATTATGGGCATTCTTACTTGGGACATAACTGAAGTAACTTTTAGAGATTGGATACCATGTCATGAGTCGGAAAGATAGTACTGTGGGTAAGCTATGCCTTGCACACCTCCAACCTGTGTTTGATCCCTGAGCACTTTTCAGGAGTGCTTCCTGAGCTCTGAGTCAGGAATTCTGAGCACAGCTAGGTATGGCCCTTAAACAAACCAAAAATGCTCTTGCTTGAGTATCTCTTTGTAAGATAATGGTAGAAACAAGCAGAAGTATCATTAAGAATTGATTGGGGGCCTGGAGGGATATCTTCAAGGACTAATATGCATGTTTGGCATGGCAGATTAAACCTGGTAGGTTTAATCCCTGGTTTGGTTTTAGTTTAGGGGCTATAAATGTATGTGCTCACACTTATTCCTGGCTCACTCAGGAGACCATATAGGATGGTGGGGATCAAACTCAGGTCATCCTTGTGTAAGGCAAGTGCCCTGTCTATTGTACTATCACTGTGGCCCATATGTAGTATTTCTTAAGTAAAACGGCATACATACTGTTTTATAGCAAACTTTTAATGTAGAAGGAATGGCACTGATATTATTAGATGTTTTTTTACATTGTTTACAGATAGTACCTCAATAAACATCTTTGTTACCTCATCTTTGGCACATTCTTAATTATTTCTAAAGGAAAAACTTCAAAAAAGGGAACTGATTGGGACAGGCTATAATTAAATGAGCTAGTATATACCAGTAAATTTGTATATTCCTCACCTAGAGTCAACAGCAGCAAACATTTTCTTTCTTTTGTGTATGTTTTGCTGGGGCTGGAGTGATAGCAAAGTGGTAGGGCGTTTTCCTTGCACGTGGCTGACCTGGCCGACCCGAGTTCAATTCCTCCACCCTCTCGGAGAGCCTAGCAAGCTACCGAGAGTATCTCGCCCGCACGGCAAAGCCTGGCAAGCTACCCGTGACGTATTCAATATGCCAAACACAGTAACAACAAGTCTCACAATGGAGAAGTTACTGGGCCCGCTTGAGCAAATCGACGAACAACGGGAGGACAGTGCTACAGGCTCCGTTTAACATTTGGGGCCAGAAAAATAACTCAATGGACAGGGCACACACATGCTTTGCATATTAGAGGCTAGGTTCAATCCCTAGCTTATGTGCTTTCTCAGGCACTAAAGGGAACAACCCCAAGGCACTGCCAGGTGACCCATAAAACAAAGGAAGAGAGAAAAGAAATTAACAATATAGTACATATTCAGTTTTCCTTCAGTTATTCCACTAGTCCTTTATTACTTCAGTTTAGCCAGATATGGCCCAGTAAACTTTATTTAGGAACCAGTCAAGCGTCACACATTACATTGATCACATCTAATTAACTTTAGTTTCCTTTCACCTAGAAGAATTCCATAGACTTTTTAAGTTTCTTTGGGTTGTGATTTACTGTTTTCACAGATATTATTTGAACAGTTTATTTGGGGCTGGAGAGATAGCTCAATGGACTGGAGCACACACATCGCATGTAGGGCCCTTAGGATCTTCGGCACTGCCTAGTTCCCCAAGCACCGTCAGGAGCACCACTGGCTGGCCTCAAAATAAAAACTATGTAAAGAAATATTTATTCCTTTTACTAATTAAAAATACTTTTTATTTTTAAGGTGGGTCATGATAACTGGGTACGTGGAGTTCTGTTCCATTCTGGGGGGAAATTTATTTTGAGTTGTGCTGATGACAAGACCCTACGTGTATGGGATTACAAGAACAAACGATGCATGAAGACCCTCAATGCGCATGAACACTTTGTTACCTCCTTGGGTATGTATGAATTAAGAAATTTCTGAGTGATTAGATTTTGGAGTACCAGACATAACAGTTTTAAGTAATTGTTAACTTCTCCAGGTAAGAAACAAGTTTTTTTAGGTTGACACACAGAGAAGACAAATTTTGCATATTGGAGGCCTAGATTCAATCCCTAGTACTACATGCTTTCTCAGGCATTAAAAGGATCAACCCCCAAGCACTGCCAGGTGACCCATAAAACAAAAAGGGGAAAAGGAAGTAAATGTAACATTAATAGAGTTTGTTCAGTTTGTTTTTACCATTTTTACCATTTGTTTTTAAATTCTCCTTTTCTGACCCAGAGAGTTCACTGCTTGTTTTGCATGCAGCTAACCCCAACATCTATCCCTGGTACCAGCCCCAAGAAATCCTGAGTAGAGAGTCAGGAGTAATCCTGAGTATTTCTGGGTATGACCCAAAGCCAAAAAGTAAACAATAGAGGCTGGAGCAGTAGCACAACGGGTAGGGCATACTCCTTTTCTTAACCTCCATCGTTAACTTATAATGAAAAGTAATTTTTTTTCACTGTGTACCACACTGGTTTTGGAAGCTAGGATTATGAAAAGGATACTTAACCATTCTCCTGGGTATTTTTTCTTCCCTATTTGTAAGTTTCAAAGGAAACTTTTTCTTGGGCAGATAATTATATTCTGTTGTATACCAGGAACTTGGAATTTTATAAAGTTGATCACCAGCATCCCATATGGTTTCCTAAGTCCCCCAGGAGAGATTCCTGAGCTAAGAGTGAAGAGTAAGCTCTGAGCACCACCAAGTGTGACCCAAAACCAAACTCCCTCCCCCCCGCCCAAAAAAATAGTATCTGAGAGTGGTCTTAAGCATGGCTGTGGCTGGTTCCGGAGGTCTTCAGCTGAGAGGCTGGAGAGATGGCATAGGAGGTGAGGTGCTGCCAGTTAGGTTCCCCTGAGCACCAAACCAAGAATAGCCACTGAGCAATACTGGGTATGGCCCAGTAACTGTTCCCCCCAATTTAAAAAATAAATACTCAGAAATGGTATCTGGCTCAGTTTAATTTTAAAATAAGCTTTTTCTTTTTCTTTCAGATTTCCATAAGACGGCCCCATATGTGGTTACTGGCAGTGTAGATCAAACAGTAAAGGTGTGGGAGTGCCGTTGATTGAGTCTCAGTTGATCCCTTCTCCCTTTTTCCTCTGGATGCACTCTGATGATACCATGGTTACCCCATTGAGCTCCGTTTAAATAAATATTGTCCTTTCATGTAAATTATTCTGGATGTAGATTGAGCTTATTAAATGTTACACACAAAGTATTCATGCATGGTGAATCCAAATTGTATACTGTAAATTTACATACGTTGTCTAGAAGTACCATAGGGTTTAAAAACCTGGGCTGGCATTGGTCACACCAGGCCTAAGAAGGCAGAAGTTGATTAAATTGAATTAGGGCACTAAACTGAATAGTTGACAGTGTCATTTTATGTTGGGTTATTCCTGTTTTCCTTTCTGCTCTCTGTTGGTGCCTGACTTGATGGCCTCATTTGGGGAAAAGTGGTGATTATTAGGGCTTTTCCTGAAATGTGTATCTATGTAACATCACTTAAGTGTGCTTAATAAATCTTCTTTAAGGATGTTAGATAATAAGGCTACAATTCAAAAATCTTCTGAACCATCTATGTAATTAATGGGGATTACACATTGGAATTTTGTCATGACACATTTGCCAAATCAATAGGATACATTTGTTTTGGCAGCCTATTAAGCAGAGGCTTGTGGTATATTTATGTAAGAAAATGACTGTAAATCTCAAATGAGAAAAATCTCAGCAGCTAATAGAAAATCATTTGTTTCATTTGGATCTTAATGCGCTGTAAACAGGTTTAAAAACACTGTAATACTCTTAAGCTTCTATTTTCCACACTGGACACACTTCTAGTTGTGTTCTTCATATATTCCTAGACTGTATAGTGATGTGACTTCCAAGTAGAATTTAATCTTACATTGAGTGTGTCATGGTACAAATCACTATTTGTTTTGATGTATTTTAGGGATGTGCAATGTGCATTTCATAATGACAAATATTAAAAGGTTATGTCTGCCCATTTTAAGGGAATGGGAGAGGATACAAGCTTGTTTTTCAACATGAATCTGATAACAATTTGAAATGTGTTTAATTTACAAGTTTAAAAAGACAGGGTTTAATGGAGCGTGCATTAAAATGTACTGTGTTTTCACCTTTTGTTCATATATAAATGTTTATAAGTATATGGGCCTATCAAGAAGTGGATAATTTCATGTAAATTATTACATACAACCTCCATGTCCTTTGGTCCTGTATTTTTGAAGAAGTGCTAAGGCATACAAGTAGAATAAATCTTGCTGTGGAATACCATGCTTTAGAATAAACCCTCTTTTCATCCTAAACGCATTTGAAAACTATGTCTTGACTCTGTGGGAGTTTTTCCCAGCTAAATGAAACCACTTCTGTTCCCTTCCTTGCCCCCCTAATTTGACTGTTTAGCATTTTACACATCCCTGATACATATTATAATCCAGAGTTAAAGTAGTTCAATGGGAATTTTTTTATCTCTGATTTTGGGAAGAAATATTCCATTGCAGATTTATTAGTAGATAATTTCATTGCTTAGCTAACCAACAGTTTTTTTTTTAAGGTTATTTGAAAAGTTAACAAAAATTAAATAACAAAGACAGTTTAACAAATTCTGAATTGCATTTTATTCATTTGCATTATAGTGATTTTTTAAATGTCCCTTTTAGTTCCTGAAAAAGACAAAGGGTTAGAATTATGTCCTGTAGACACACACAGATTAGGCCATATATTTCCTAGAGGCAGCTTTATATATCTAGCTTGTGTCTTTTTGTTTGCTTATTTTTAGTAATTCCTGAGAAATGACTCTGGAAAGAAAAGTGTTTTAAAACTAATGGCTCTTTTGAGGACAAAAATCACAACTTAAGCTAATTCCTTGAATACAATAGAGTAACTTCCAGGACAATATTGCCTCACAACCCTGCTCACATTGAGAAGTCTTTTTTGTTTCCCCTTAGCTGTTCTGACTGGATTTTTCTACAAAAGTTATGAAAGATATCTTTGTTCTCGTTTGCTGCTATTTCCTATTCTATTTTAAGACATAAGTACATAGAAATGGTGCATCTTAACATTTGTTTGTACATGTATAAATGTCTTGTATCTTGATTCAATTTTAGCATGTAGCAACACAAATTGTTTAAGGGTAAGCCACAACATCTAGAAATCACTCACAAATATGAACAATAAAGGGAAAAAAGGTACCGAAACAAAGCTGCTGTCCACTGGATTTTTTTCCCCTGCAGCATGCAGTGACTTTGTTGACCAAGGAGGAGAAACTGTGGCTCTCTAGACTGTAGAAGTTATCTTTACTTGGGAGATTGCCACAGCCTGCTGCTTAGTTGAGTTGCCAGATAATTCCTCCACATAAGCAGCAGCAAACATTGAATCTCAGGGATGGTCCTCAACATGGATCCACATGTAGTGAACCCTGTTTGAATCATAAAAGGGGGTGGGGGAGAGTGATCCATCCACAATCCGGAATCCGATTTGCAGAAGTTTCCTACACTGTTGTTTGACACTGCCCTTTGATGCCCTTTCTTTGATGCCCTGTTTCCTGTTTTCTCTGTCTGCTGTCTGACCCTGTGCCTTGCCTGGGATAAGGACAATGATGAGGTTACTGGTTTGGATTGTAAGTAGAGAAATTTATCAATTGGTTTAGAGGTTCACTGCTGCTTTGTCACTTTTCTCAATTCGGCCACTTATTTAAGAACTAAAAAAACTAGTAGAATTGCATCTTCAGATTATTGACTTTTTGTATGTGTTAAAACAACATTCCAGTGCCACCCTATATATTGTGCCCAAGAAGTCCTAGCTGCACTCTTGAAAGTGCAAGCCATGGAAACTGGTTTAGACATCAGTTGGAGAACGTTGCTTTTTGACATGGCGTCTTGCACTTTAGGAGACTTAAGACCGTCCTGTTTTGTCTATGTGTGGTGTGACCAATGGTGTGCCCAGAGCACTGCTCTAAAAATCCTTAGTGTTAGCAAGTCGTCCAGACTGTGGAGCACTCGCTGTAGTCTTTGGAAGCTTTGGCTCTAGATCACCAAGCCCAGTCTCCTTATTGTCAGTGCCCTGCTCTCCTGTTTGCCTCTTTGTTTTCTATGTGAACTTCCAGGTAAAGTAATGCATCAAATAGTTTTTCTTTAACTTATTTAAAGAAAAACTATTTAAAGGTAGAGGATGTTTGTTTTGTTGACAGTGGTGGCTTGATAAATCCTGAAGCAACTGAAGTTAAAATTGAAGGAAAAGGCACTTAAAAATGGTTACTCTTTCTGTCCAGCTGTATATAAGTCCAATATATTGATCTAGATGATGCAGAGAAGAATCACCTGGTAGAGAAACATGCAAGAAATTGGCGAAGAAGGTTATGGTTTCTTTTTTCTAGTGGGGTGTGGGGGAGGGCAAGTGGATTTACAAGTCATGACTGGACTGACTGGCCTTTTTATCTTTCCACTATATCATGTAAGTAGCTGCTTTCTTGTCCTGCCTATCCTTCAGGCATCCCTAAAGCTCACTTGAAGATAGAAATACAAAATCTTCGAGTAAAAGTTGGTTCCGACACTGACATGAAGGCAAGCATTGATTCTTTGAACGTTGCAGAGGTGATTGGAGAAAACAGTTCCCCGGATTGTAAGAGTTAACTGAAGATATTGACACAATTTAAAAAAAATCAGTAAAGGAATGTATATAATATTGCTCTTGTGTTTTACAGTAAGATTTGTTGCTCTCAGACTGTGTAAAACAAAATTTATTCATGTTTTCTGCATATTAAAAAATCTTATTGTACCAATTGGTAAACTATTAAATGCCTATAAAACTAGATGTGATTTTTTTTGCGGGGGCTGGGTAGGGGGGTGATGCTTTCTGGAGTCAGGTCCTAATTGATTCCTAACAGAAAGTGGGACTTTGTCCAGCAGTGGCCATGGAAAGAGTAAGATGCAAATTGTTGGTGGGGCATTGGAGTCTTGATGGAAGACTTCACTAATGCGTTGTCAGTGCTGCTGCCTTTATGGACCACTTTCATTCCTGATTGGAAGACAGAGCTAGGAACCGCCAAGACTTAATACCCAACCATTCTCAGCAATCCTTTCTAACAGTGACTACGACATCATTATATCGCTTACAAAGATTTCACCCTCTTAGTGATCAGTGACATACCTGCTGTTCTATTAGTGATGATTCTCTTCGCTCATTGACCTTACATCTTAGAAATGTAATCATCCTGCTCCCCCCCCCCCAAACCAGACTACTAGGGTCTTTTGGGCACCCTTGAAATATCCCATGCTTTTTACATGGAAGAGACATGTTCAGTGACAGCCTTTCTTAAGGCAGTTTTCCTGTCTTCTAATGGGGATACCCTCTTTTCCTGAGACAAGCACACCCAAGTAATTTGCTTAAAGTTAGGGTCATAGCGATCGTTCAGGACTGGGCACATAAGTCAGGTTGTACACAACCCAACTCATTTGGTCTTCACCACCAACCACAAATGGTCTCCCAAACAACACCACTGGGAGTAATCCCTGTGCACTGACAGATGGCCCCCAAAACAAAACTTTCTGCCTCTGCACTCAAGAATCACTCCTGATAGTGCTCCAAGGACCTTCAAGTTTGCTTGTACTTCCTGTTTTCCTAGGCTGCCATCCAGATGAGCCCATCCACTTTACCTAGAGGTAGTTCTAGACTGCAATCATTCTAAAATGCAGTTAGCTGTCCAAAATGTGCTGGGTACTGGTGTGTGTTCTTAGGAAATTCTTGGTTGTGTCTGTATCTGTTGAGGTGGGGGGGAGCCTTAAAGAAATAATGCTGTACCCTGGATGTAGCCGCTCTACCTTTGGTTAGTCTCTGTTGAGGTTGTTCTTAATCTGCAGACAGGCTCAACTATTTACACACCAGAATCCTCTAGAAAGTGTTCTCTAAGCCAGCAGCATTGAGAATGTTAGAAATGCGACAGACCTACAATATCTGAAATAAGGTCCAACAAGTTTGGAGGGTTTTTTTTTTTTCCCTCTCTTTGGGTCACACCTGGCGATGCACAGGGGTTACTCCAGGCTCTTCACTCAGGAATTACTCCCAGTGGTGCTCAGAGGACCATGTAGGATGCTGAATTTGAACCTGGGTTGCCCATGTGCAAGGCAAACGCCCTACCCGCTGTGCCATCGCTCCAGAGCCAACAAGTTAGGTCTTAACTATCCAGGGCCACAGAGTACAGTGATAAGGCACTCCTTTGCACATTGCTGACTCAGGTTGAATCCCCGGCCCCCCCCCCCCCCCAGGAGTAAAAGTGTTCAGTAACGCAGGAAAGACCATCCCACCTCTGACACCGCTCCATCACATCACACTCCACTGTGAAGTCCATTATGGGATGGCCATTAAGGAGTCGAGTGGATGCTAGGAAGAAGCAAGAACGATACCAATCATGCAATTCAGGAGGCTCCTCATTCCTCACATGGGGGGGTGTTCTGAGTGGTCTGCGTCTGATTTCCTTATGCAGTGTTTGCTTGTCTTACAAAGGATATTTCACTTCTCATTTGAGAGGAAAAACACCCATTCTTCATGCTTATTTGGTAGTTTATAGACAAACATAACTCGGCGAGGGGCCCCCCAGGATATTCTAAGGGAACCACATGTGAGAACTACATAGAGGCTCACAGCACAAACTAGGGAGCCAGTGTAGACTGGCAATGCCCCAGGAAGAAAACAAGGTTGGCAAGGGTCAGGGTCAGGAAAGGTTGAGAAGCACTGGCTTAGAGGCTGGAAGTCTGGGTGAGGAAATGGGCCACATGAGAAAGAATTCCTTTTATCCAATTAACAGTTCTCAGTTCTCACTAATGATGGTTGGGAGTATGGGGGGTGGGCGCAGAGAAATAGTACCGGAGTTAATGGCACTTTTCCTGGCATGCAGCAGGATCCTGGTTCAAATCCCCAGAACCATGTATGGTTTCCCAGCGCCACTAGGGGTCACTGTTGAGCAGTCAGGAATATTCCCTGATGATTACTCGTGTGTGTGCCCACCCCTCTTAATGAGTTTGGGGAGCTGATAACGTCTTTTAAACATCTGTGCTCAAGGATCGCTTCTGGAAGGCTCAGGGGGCCACATGGGGTGCTGTGGATTGAACCCAGCTTGACTGTGTGCAAGACAAGCACCCTACCAGGGTGACCAGTAACCCCAGAACTGGGCCCTAGCAGCACACTTAGCATTTGAACAGGCCTAATCACTGGAGGGCCCCTAGACCTCCTGAGCACCATTTAGGAGATCCCAGAAAGAAAAGGGGGGAAAAAAAAGTGAAATATGAGCTGGAGGTAGTACAGCACCTAAGGCGCTTGTCCTGCACATTCCCACCCTGGGTTCCATCCCTGAGATTCCCTATTTCTCCTAAGCACTGCCAGGAATAATTCCTGAGTGTAGGGCTAGGAGCAAAAAAAAAAGACTGAGATTTGGGGAGTAAAGATTCTCAGTGGACTGGATTGGGTGTTGGGGGGGTGTGAAGACCCAGGTTTGATAGCTATGCCGCCATCTCCCACTCCCCCAACTGTTCATTTTAAAAATTAGGAGTCACAGAATATTGCAGGTAGGGCACTTGCCTTGCATGTAGCCAACCCAGGTTCAATACCTGGCATCCCATATGGTCCCCTGAGCAGTCAGAAGTGATCTCTGAAAGCAGACCCAAGAGTAAACCCTGAGCATTGCTGGATGTGGCCCCAAAATAAAACAAAATAATGGGTCAAAGAGATAGCACGGGTTAGGGTTAAGGTGCATACCTTGCATGTGGGCTGACCCTAGTTCAATATCTGGCATGGTCCCATAAGCATCACCTGGGCCATTACTGGGGATAACCTAGGCCCCCAAACATCACTGGGCCCAAGCATTGAACCACTAGTTCGAATCACTAGGAGGGAGACCCAGGTCACCTGAGCTCAAAAGGAAATATGATAATAAAAAGATAAAAGATATACACATCAACTGAGAGAAGGGGGTAATTCACACCTATACCCTTTTCCTTCATAAAACAGCAGCCCTTAAGGGGCTGGAGAGATAGAGTGCTGCCCTTCATCCCCAGCACTGCATATGGTCCCCATATGGACCCCTAAAGTCTACCAGGAATGAGCCCTTACCATACAGCAAAGTGTGGCTCAGCCAGGTGATGTCCCTGCACACCACTGAGTGTGGCCCAAATGCAAAAATCAAAAGTAAACAAAAAAGCAGCCCTTTGTCATTTGGTAATTAAGAGCAGAAATGCACTCGACCATGAAAAGTGACAGTAATCGAACAGGGGCACTCAGACTGACAGGAAGATACTGCTCCATATCTAGAAATGCTTTGAACAGTCTTCATAGGCTAAAGACTATAGGAAGGCTTGATCAGAGAAGCAAGATTATAAAAACAACCATGGGGGCAAGGAACCTGTGTTAAAATATTAATGGCAATTGATGGGGCCAGAGTGATAGGACAGGGAGTAGGGCACTTGCCTTACATGCGGCTGACCCAGGTTCGATCCCCAGCATCCTGTATGGTCCTCCGAGCCCTCCAGGAGTGATCCTTGAGTGCAGTACCAGGAGTAAGCTCTGAGCACCGCTGGGCATGGCCCCCAAACAGAGCAAACTAAAAAAAATATACTAAAAACACAAAAGCCTCTCCAAGTGCTCAAAAATGTAATTCAAAGGTGCATGATGGGGCTGGAGATACTTCAGTGGGTAGGGTGCTTGCCTTGTCAGACCTGGATTCAAATCCCAGCAGGTTCCCTGAATACCACCAGTGCTGAGCCCTGAATGCGGAGCCAGAAGCAAGCCCTGAGCACTGCTTCCAGGTGTGACCCAAAAACCAAAAGCAAAAAAAAGGAGGGAAAAGCCCAAAGCTCCACACCTACCTGAGCAGTGGACGCTGAGTAGTGGCTACCAGCTGTAAGGAGACACAGGGACGGGGCCTTCCATAATCCACCCTCTGTTCCAAAGCAACCTGCCCCACGGGGTTCTGCCATCCCCAGTGTCACTAGCAACTCCAAAACCCTGAGCAAAGACGACCAACATGAGAGGCCTCTCCATTCTCCCAGCACTCCCATTATGGGAACAGAACCCCCCAGTCGTGACTCAGATGCAGAGACAGGGACACACTCACTGTCCCAAAATCCACACCTCCAGGCAGCCCTCAGCCCCTGGCTGGCACTACAGCCTGCCCCACAGAAGGCCCCATGGAGGCCTTTCTTCTTGGGACCAGGGGCAGGTGGCTCTGGGACCCCGCCCACTGCAGGATCTCTGGAGTAACCTTGAGTTTGACCTACACTGGAGGGCTTTAAACTTTAACTAGCAACGTTTCTGGCAACAGCCCTCACAACCAAGGCGTACAGAATACACAGGAGAGGCTGGGGCAGCAGGTTTCAAAAACTCACTTTATTCCAATGTGAAATGAAGACGTGGTGGTTTAAAAACAAGAAAAAGTTCTTGATCAGCTGTGGGGGTGCTCTGCTTGCTAGCTCACGCCCACTCCCTTTGAAACAGGGTCTGGGCAGACCAAGACCATGCCAAAAGCAGCTCCCCGCAAAGCCCCCAGAAGAGGCCCGCCCAGCTCCCTTTTGCTTGCAAGGGTGGTCATTTCCCCCTACCCGTTAGGGCTCCATCAGCAGGCACAGAGAAGCAGCACAGACAGGCAGGAGAGGCGAGCTGGGGCAGCCCCTGCCCTGCCACCCACAGAGCCTGGTGTGGCAGGGCCAGGGAGGGGGCCGTAAACAGGTGAGATTCCCTCCTGTATCTGGTGACTTCTCCCCAGGATCCATGATTCAGCCCTGGTTCCCCCCAGCCCCTCACCCACCCCACCCCCACTGTGCG